GAACAATGAACTTCCAAGAGTCCTAACATCAGAGAGCTGTGACCTTCTCTCTGATGAACAAGCACTGTGTGCAATGACAACTTCTTAATAGTTGTCTAAAGCCCTAAAGACTCAAACTCCTTAATATTACTCTTTAATGAACACGATTTTCTTGTAATCTATCAAATTATTTCACAACTAGCGTTTTTTTTTTTTTTTTTTTTTTTTTATGAACAAAACGAATATCATTATTTTTTTTGTCCTCTTTTCCCTTTTTTTTTTTTTTTTTTTCCTTGTCCTTTCCTTTTTGCAGGTCATGGCAATTAGTTTCTCTTTAACGGCATACATATATGTATACATACATATGGTAATCTTTATTACGATGCCACCTCGGCTGACGTCATCACTCCAGGAGCGCTCTCAGGTCCGCCTCCGTGATTTCGGGCCGCGACTGCTTACCCCTGTGACTGGTCCCCTTTGCCATCTGCGCCATCACGTGCTGAATTCTCTCTAGTCTGTCTTCCTTCACCTTGATGCCCATTTCTTTCAGCAAAGGCGCCGCTTCTTCCACTGTGCTGAATATCTTTGTTCCAGTGTCCAGAAATATTTTGAGTTGGGCCGGATAGGGGGACTGCGCCCTCACGTTCCTCTCCTTCAGCTGTTTGATGACGTCTCTCACCTGCTTCCTTTTCTTTTGGACCTCTGTTGTGTAATCTTGGTTGAAATAAACAGTCTGTCCTTCATAGCAGATCTTCTGTTTCCAGGCCTCTTTTATCACCTGTTCCTTCACCCTATAATCCAAAAAGCGCACAATGATCGCCCTCGGAGGCGCTGTGCTATCCTTTGGCTTATTCACCAGTGACCGGTGCGCTCTTTCTATACACAGGTCCATCCCGTCTGTAGTTTTAATATGGGATTTAATAAATTGTGCTATGAAGCTTATGGTGTCATTTTTTTCTGCACCCTCGGGGATGCCATGGATTCGTATGTTGTTGCGCCTCATCCTCGACTCCTGGTCGTTGCATTTCTCTGATATTTTGGTCACCTCTCGGAGCAGGAATGTCGCCACCCGTTCCTCCCGCGCAATCTTATCTTCATTATCTCCAATCTTTCCTCCATGTGAGCTACTCTCTGCTCCAGGGATGTTGTTCTGACCATGAGCTCCCCAATACTCGCTTCAACTCTAGCCATTGCTTGCTTATTATCTCCTACCGCTTCCGCATGCTCTTTTCGTAGCTCTCGTAACTCGATAAGTATGGCCGAGTCACGGTCCCCTTTCGGCGGCTCCGAGCGCTCCCCTGCATGGCTCTGTACCTTCGCGGTTCCGGTACTCTTTTCTTTTCCGCCTTTCTCTACCATACGCTTTCCTTTCTTGACCATATTTTCCATGGGTGATCTATGTCACTTTAAGAGCGAGTTTTCTCTATGTTCTACTGTTTTTACCTTATTTTAACGCTAGTTTTAATCGTGTTATTCAGAGCAGCCTTTTCTCCTGCTTTTCACACCATGGCGCCACCGGAAGTTTTTCCCAAAAATACTTTTTGATTTGCAGACTTTGCTGCTAAGCTTGTTTCAGATTAAATTATTTTCTTTGTGCCAGACTGTAAAATAATTAAAATACTCTTTGATTTGCAGACTTTGCTGCTAAGCTTGTTTCAGATTAAATTATTTTCTTTGTGCCAGACTGTAAAATAATTAAAATACTCTTTGATTTGCAGACTTTGCTGCTAAGCTTGTTTCAGATTAAATTATTTTCTTTGTGCCAGACTGTAAAATAATTAAAATACTCTTTGATTTGCAGACTTTGCTGCTAAGCTTGTTTCAGATTAAATTATTTTCTTTGTGCCAGACTGTAAAATAATTAAAATATATATAGCTTCCTGTGTCAAAACTGGCCCAGTATAACAGTAAAAACTGTTTTTTTAATGGCACACAGAGAGTATTTTGTTGGATAATGATAACTTATTAGCATACTGTACACGAGACAACCTCTGCCTTGTCTGAATTAACTACGATCACATGGATTCTAAAACTTTAAGCTGATCCTGATTTTGATCTCAGATCCTTCACAGAAGTCTTGATGGAAACGTACAAGAAATTAGGAATCAAATTGTGATCAATGCTAAGTTAGCATCAAGTGTAGGATGGTACTTTATTTCTGCTATTGTTCGGGTTTGATTTGAACCCCCGGAGTTATTTTCATTTTTTTTGTTTTGTGGGGGTGGTCACAGCATGACATTGATTTATTTAGATATTCAAATCACTCCATGCCTGCATAAAGATTTGTCTGGAAAAACCCGACTAGCCTTCACAGACTCATGACCTTGAGCTTATAGGAAACCGTTGGGATGAATTAGAGCCGATGCAGCAATACTGGCTTTCTCATCTAGACATGAATAGCCCCCTAAACCTTGAGGAAGATGTTTACAGATGAGTGAAAACTGGCTTCATTTTAAAACCCTTATTAAACTTCCATGGACCTGTATGGCCAAACTCTCTCCTTTATTCCTGATTTTTTTTAAACTTCAGGTATTTAAATCCAAAATCTTTAAAAGGACCAGTCAGTCTTTCCAGACTGTTGCACCTTCGGTGTGGACTAAGCTTTCTCTGTTTTTATGTTCTCTTTTGACTCTTGACTTATTAAAAAGCAGCAGATGAAATGTTTTAAAGATTTTTTTATGTTCATATATTCTTTTTATTCATCTTGACTATTAGCCAATAAAGGATTTATATGATTAGTTCAGTGTTGATTGACTGACTTTATTAATCCCACAGTGGAGAATGTACTTGTTACTTTACACTACAGTACAATGTGTAAAAAGCTGACAAAAGATAAAAATAAAACACCTAAAACAACATTCTAGCCGGCCTAAAACTGGAAAAGATTAGCCTATTTATTTTTCTCTGACCTTTAGCAAAAGGCTGGATGTTTTTTACGTATAAAGTATTTTTACAAATTTACACCTAAAAGTTCTCTGCATGCCTGGGATCTGGTTCATAGCTCCTCCACTCTGACTTAAATGTAGTTCTGAACTGAATTATTCAATTTCTTAGCAGGAAAACAGCATATTTTGTTCTTTTTGTGCAGAGGAAAAATTGGGAACAATTTAACTGTAGAGTAGCCCAACAAGGACTACTATATAAATCCACAAACTCAACGCTATTTCTGACATTTTGAATTGAAAAAGTTTCCTGGATGGGAAGCAAAACGCCTTCAAACTTGGAAACAAAGTCAAGTGGATTGTTTTTAAACTTTTTTGGAAGTAAATTGGGAGCTTTGCTTTTTGGCTAAGCAGCATTACAGAGCAAAGCAGGTCCCACACTTCCTCAAGGGTTAGCTCAGGTAAAGTTCCTTCTCCTCCTTTTGTTTCTCTTCTCACCTCACAGGAGAGTTTTGGTCAGCAGAGTATTATTGTACATCAAAATAATGCAGAAGACATTTCCTGATCACAGACCCCCCGTGGGGGGGACTTGGTTTGAGTTTTTCTAACGCAGTCAGTAGGCCAGAAGTGTCAAACTTAAGTTGTGTTTCTGGTTTAACACAACTAAATCAGATAATAAGGTCATTAGCAGCAGTCTAGAATTTGACTGCATGCTGAGAGGCTTTCCAGTTATTTGATTCAGGCTTGGTGGACTTGCAGTAGGTCTTCACTGAGAAAATCAGCCACATCCTCCCCCTGCTTCGCTATTTTTACTCATAAATTATTCCTAAGAATGCCTCTTTTCCTTCAACCTTCCATTTTACTTATCCCTCTGGATGAATATTTGATCTGAAAATACTTAGGATCTGAACTCTCACTTTCAGTGCTGTAACGCAAGCCTTTAAGTACCTAACAGCAGTTAAATTGAATTGGTTTTAGAACTGGAACTCAGTGCAACGTCCACAGCAGGCTGTTTTCATCAAAATATTGATGTGGAAATACAAGTGTTTGCAACCTCCATACTGTACATCTTGATGTTGTACTCTTCAGCCTGGTTAATTTTCTTCAGAGGCATTCCACAGCAGAGCTGTGGTAATGCAAACACATTAACTTTGTAAGTAAAGCTCAGTGCTATTAGTTAATCCCCACGGTGCTGATGTGAATTATAGCCCATGTTGTAATAAGCCCAGCTCTTCCTGTTTTAGGACTCTGCCACCAGGCTCCACTCAGGCCATGGCTCAAAACGGTGAAAGCACTGGCATAAATCAGCCTCAGCACTCTACTGCTGCTTTGATTATCCAGTAAGATGCTGGGTCCCGCTACATTTAATGATGCCTCTGTTCCATAGTGCACCGCAAGAATCCTATGGTCATTCCATGCTCCTTCTCGTTTTGTTCTCATGTTGCCAAAAGCAAGGTGAATGATTTTTCCTGTCTGACTGTGTTGAACTATTCCTAAAAGCCTGAAGCCTCTCTGTCAAAGATCTATCATCTTGGTTCTTTCTCGTGCTTATTGATTTGATATGTCACCTGCCCAGGAATCGGTTATGGTGGTGCTGCTAATCAGTCATCTCAGAAGAGAGGCTGTTTGTCTCTGTTTTAGCCTCCATCTTTCACTCTGTTTCGCTGTTTATGTCCTCTGGCGTTATCTGGTGCAGACTGGAAATCAGCGAGGGATGGAAAAAAGTAGAAGAAGAATGACATCTCATAGTTGTACTCAGAGGTCTTTGCTTTTAGCTCTGCGGGGAGAAAAACACAATATGAGAGCCCTTATTTTGCCTCAGGCTGCTTCAGTGGTCATTTCTCCTCCACCTCTCATGGTGCTGTTAGAACGGATATTCCCACATTTCTTCAACACATCATCATTCTTATCACTTTACATCAACTAGTTTATTCAAGAAGCAGAGGCATGCTTTACCTTGGCCCTGTCTATATTGTGTTTTTATTTTGGCTGCTGCAGGATTTAGATTTTCATGCTGCTTCTGTTCAAGCAGCTCAGGAAATATGCATTTCTCGATCCTGCTGCTCTCATGAGACCTAAGTTGATGATCACTGGCTTGTTCTGTATAAAGCCTACTCTGTCTTCACTCTCTTTCTGCAGAAGTTTGATGGGAATGTGAATTCAGAAACCGTCGTCCAGAACAAGCTGTCCCACCCTGTGAAGACACGTTTCCTGCGCTTTGTCCCTCTTGAATGGAACCCCAGTGGATGGATGGGCCTGAGAGTGGAGGTGTTCGGATGTTCCTACAGTGAGTAACCAACTTCCTGAGGTTCATCCTACAATTTAAAAGTACTCAGAGGTATACTTTCTTACCACCTTCTTAGAATTGTGGTGCTATTTACCCTTGATGGATAGTAATAAAGAATATTTTCTTCATTTGGTTTTAAGAAGCTGTGTGATATATTCCTGAGGAATCAAACATTCATCAGGAAGTTGTGATGTCAATTTTGATTTTCCAGAAATTGGTGAATATATATTTATATAGACCTGCTATGATGTTAAACATCTTTACAGGAATTCCAAAATTTTACACCTCAAAACAGAACACGTAATGCTGGAATTTCAATGATTTAAGGCTATTTTATTTATTTTTTAACGTTTGCTTACTTCTTTAGAAATATTTGGTTACAATAATGTTGCAACTTTAAAAACACACACCATGTGAATGGATATCAGCATATTTTCACCTTCTCTTAAGCATTTGAATTATTTAGGGGTAAAGATGATACCACAGCTGTTGCTGATATTATATGACACACATACGGTCTATACTACATTAAGGCTCAGCTGTACACACACTTTCCTTATCAGATTGAAAGTTCAGTAGTAAGCTGTTGAAGTAGAAGCTACTTATTGTACTATGACTATCCGGTTTCTTGCTTTCTCACTAAAGGAGCAGATATGGATTCAGAAAAGGCCAGCAAAAGCAAAAAAGGTGGATTATCAATGCAAAGGCAATGTTTTGTCTCTGCAACCCAAAGATTGTACTTTTTGCACTATCTGTTGTTACCGACATGGCATGTTCTGCAAAGCAACAAACAGAAGTGCCCAATGCATTTGAAGCAGTAACTTTTTAATCCAGCCTTACTCTTTGATTACACTTGATGCTCCATCCCTTAAGCAGAATTTCCTCTTGGAAAATTAGGTCATAACTCAGTATTTCCTGCTCATAAAATAAACCCCCTTTTCAGGGGCAGCTTGCAATAAAGAAAACTCTTAGAATATGGTCAGTGGATGCTGAAGAAGTGCTTTGAGTTTGTTTTTAGGCTATAGAAAATGATGCACTGTGCCAACCACATGTAGATTACTCCATTCCTGGCATAATGGTGAGATGTATCTGAAGAAAATAACCTCATGGATATGGAGTTATTGAAGAGTATATCGAGGCAACTTAAAAAGATACAGCACTGAGGCTTGCAGTAATAAGTTGGGAAACAAGCTACAAAAACAAAACAAAAAAACTATTACTGTAGATGTGTGGTCAGAGATTGACAAAAAGCTGCCTACAAGGACCTGGTGTACTTCTTGGGGAATATTGTTCAAAAAAATCCCTTCAGCCTGAATGTGAATAACAGAAGTAAGGTGATTGTAGATTTAAGGAGAAACAGTAAGTGATTCACTACTATTACCATTATGGAAGCAGAGCAGGAGGTGATGGAGGAGTATAATTACCTAAATACGATATGTTCAATTTCAATTCAATTCAATTCAATTCAGTTTATTTATATAGCGCCAAATTCACAACACATGTCATCTCAAGGCACTTTACAGTTCAACCAGATCAAATTGATACAAAGTTTTCTATCTAAGGAAAACCAGTTGATTGCATTGACTCATTGACTCAAATACAATCCCCCACACTAAGCATGCTTGTAGCGACAGTGGAGAGGAAAAACTCCCTTTTAACAGGAAGAAACCTCCAGCAGAACCAGGCTCAGTGTGAGCGGCCATCTGCCGAGGCCGACTGGGGTTCAAGGAGACAGAAGCAGAGATACAAAAAGCAGCTGTAAAAGGCGGCCCCGTCCAGGAAACACACAGCCAGGCAGACGAGCTCCAAGGCAGCTCCCATGCCAGAGGACGAAGAAAGCACATCCACTCAGTCACGGTCAGAGAAACAGGACCACACTGGAAAACAGGCCGATCTCCAACATCTATAAACAAGGGTGTTGATAGAAGCAGCACAGCTGATGTTTCTTTCCAGGATGACGTCACAGCCAAACAGGAACAGACGAGGCAAAGCTACTCTGAGGAAAAGCAGAGAGAGCAGAAGGTTAGAGATTGAACTAACAGATTCTGCAGAATAGGAGAACAGAGAGAGAATGAAGCAGAATGATGAAATGGGGGTCCCTATGTCCTCCAAAAGTCTAAGCCTATAGCAGCATAACTATAGAGATAGCTCAGGATAACCTGAGCCACTCTAACTATAAGCTTTATCAAAAAGGAAAGTTTTAAGCCTAGCCTTAAAAGTAGACAGGGTGTCTGCCTCACGGACTAAAACTGGTAGTTGGTTCCACAGGAGAGGAGCCTGATAACTAAAAGATCTGCCTCCCATTCTACTTTTAGAAATTCTAGGAACCACTAGTAAACCTGCAGATTGAGAGCGAAGTGCTCTGTTAGGAACATAAGGAACAATCAGATCTCTGATATAAGATGGAGCTTGGCCATTTAAGGCTTTATATGTGAGAAGGAGGATTTTAAATTCTATTCTTGATTTAACAGGAAGCCAATGAAGAGAAGCCAGGACAGGCGAGATATGATCTCTCTTTTTAATTTTCATTAGAACTCTGGCTGCAGCATTTTGGATCAGCTGAAGGCTTTTAACTACAGTTCAGATACCTAAACAACAGAGTTTGCACCACCCTTCTTATATATCATATCTGACAGTAGCAGCCATTCAAAATGGCCCTTCCCAGTAAAAAGCTAGCCGAATGGCAGCAAAATTCCCTCCAACTTCCAGCCACTGGCCTTCTCATGATCATGCATATTTTTTTACTCTGATTCCACCCTTTCGCTGAATTAGAGGGTCTGAACAGGAGACAACACTTCTCTTTAGATCTTATTGGCCCAAATCATGACAGAAAGAATATTTTAGATCTTTAAACAGGAATTGCAGAGGACCAGCCAAGGACCCTTCAAGGAAACTGGGAAAATTTTGAATGACTACTACTGTGTAAAAAAACTACAACAGCTTACTCCTTATAATACAAAACAATCTAAATTGGAAGGGGGGGGGGGGTTTCAAGTGCAGTACTAACCTGACTCCGCCAGATGGATTTGCTCCGCATATCCATCTGGAAACCTTCCGTTGAAGTAATTTTGGGAAGGGGCGAAAATACTGGTTAGCTGATTGGCCTATGTTGGTGATAGACGGGCCAAATAAACCAATCAGATCAACGAAGCATATGACGTACTAACAGAGCGACGACGAAAACACAACCACAAGCCAGGCACAAGCCAATTGATAGATCAAACTCTTGCCGAAACCAGTCGGGAGAAGAGCAGAAACATCTTCTTCTCTGAGAAAAGCCTCCAGAGCAGTGTTTTGCTCTTCTTTCAGTGAAGAAATACTCTGTAATTCCGATAAAACTTGCTTGATAGCCACGCTAACGCTAGTTTCATCGGCTGAAGCCGCCATGTTCTTTAGACTGAAATGTCACGCTTCTCGTTGCGTCACACCTCAACCCGCCTCAAAGCCAACGCTGATTGGACGTTCGTTTGGTGAACGGCTCCAACTTTTCTTTAACAGAAAGTAGCCAGACTGATCTGCGAGTGAAACCTTGAAAGCTCGCGAGATCAGGATGGTCTCACGAGGCTAGTGCAGTATAGCCACTTATTAGAATTAGAGCCTTCCTTCCAGGCATTACTCTCAGTATATTTGGGAGTTAGTAAAGAAACATTTATAAACTGTCTTTGATCAGTTTGAAAAGGTACATTGTGTGCCTTTTAAAGAAATACAAATTAAGTATGATGTTTTACAGGAAAATACATAAAGAGTCTTATCATTTAGAAAAAAGTGTATCCATAGCAGACTCAGAACCAGAACACAATTTTGCTCAAGCGCAGTTTATGCGCAAGTTTCAAACTTAAAGAGTCCCCTCTCTGTATATTATGTTAAAGAAGCGTTGCCACCTATTTTTATCATATTTTGCGATGTATGTTAATATATTGTGGAAAAATGTCACAGACGTCTGTTCCATTTTTTGTTAAACAGTCCCTATGGGCCGTCTTTTGTTTCTTTTTGGTCTATCTGTGGAAGTACTGACCTCGTTAATGGAGCAGATGTTGTTTATACGCAAACTTTTACTCTTAGCATGGTAATGCATCTTGTTATAGTGCTTTCCGGGGCAGCCCCCCTTGGTATGGCACATAGAGGCATTTAAGGTCTTCCCAAAGGAGTGCCTCAGTGTCATAACAAAGGGTAGTTTAGATGCCTTTAACAAAATCTGGCAACCCCATTCAAGCTACTTCTCTTAAACATATTACTATACAAACAAAGTTCTGCTTTATTTTTAAGCATGACCAGCATTAAGATTGCTTTATTGTTGTATGACCTGTGCTGGCCTGTTTTGTTTTGTTATTTTTGTGTAATTAAAAGATGTTCTACACTATATTGTTTAAAATAAAGAAACAAACTTTCATCAGTTAGGAATGCAAAGTAGATCAAGAAACCATGTGTAAATAAAACTACATTAAAAAATAAAATAAAAATATGAACAGATAGAAGTAATGCTGAAAGTATTCTCTTATAAATGTACTCTGCAAAGTCCTCCTCTGTTAGCATGCAGCTATGATCTGACTCAAAAAATTTTACTGATTGTTCTAATCACTGATGTCAATGAAAAAATAAAATGAAAACAATGTAGTTCAAACTAAGTTTGAATATTACATCATTTCAATATTACACACATGTAACATGCCAGGTTTGATACCTGCTGCATCATGTCTGTTATATTGTTACTTTTGATGTTTCCATTTTGTATTATACACTTTTCAATATCAAAAGTTTCACTGATTGTTAAAGATGACATTTCAGTGATGAATGATACTTTTAAAATGCTTTTTCAAATCTGAGGACTGCAAAATCGCACTACATCCATTCATTCATTCACCCACTGGCAAACATTCCCATGCTGATGGTAATAAGTTGCACTGTAACCTGAACTGCCTTTGGACAGGCTGACAGAAGTGAAGCTGCTATACATTAGTGACACCAGGCCCTCTGACAACCAGCAACAGGCAAGATCCGTGAAGTGTCTTGCCCAAAACACTGAGATAGATGAATCAAGAGCTCCAATCAGCAATCTGAGTGGCATACAAGTGTTAGAGTTACAGTCACCCCCAATGCTCTAAAAGTGAGATAATTATGAACAGATCAATTAGTAAGGGATGTTTTGACTTTCCATCTGTTGCCTAAGGGCTCCTTGGGTGGGTGAACGGTCTACATAAAATAGTGTTAGATGTTACAGGCTGTCGTCATGACATTGGTGAGGTGTTTTAGTCATAGCTGCATCATCTCTGTAGCAGCTGTATCTCAGGCATTTGGGAGTTAAATCGCTGATGTCGGGAAATCTGATAATGAAATTGCTTCGAATGCTGTTAAACTTCAGTATTAATTTCCAAGGTATGTTAGACCAGAGCTATTAAAATGAAAGACTGATCCAATCATGTAAAATGGTTATTCCTTAGAGTCGTTTTTATTTATGTAACATTTACCAAACCTTTTAAGCTGTGGCTTTATCAAATTTTGCATGTGGTTTAAAAAAGCTAAAGCCTGGAACATTCATTGACATGTGGTAAAGTCAGGTCCACAAATACATTACATCGTACATTTTGTTGGAAAAAATGCCTCAGTTTGTTGTAAATTTAAGCCTTGTACCTTTAATGCACAACGCTAAGTAGCTACAGATAAAAATCTTTATCGTTTCTTTACATGCTTTCAAACTGTTTGCATAAATTGTGTGTTAAGGACAATAAAAGGCATACTAGCAACTCTCAGTGAATTGATGAATGTAATTTGAAACTATTACACACACCAGAGGTGCCACACAGGAAGAGGAAGCAGCAGTCGCTGTACAGTAGCAGCAGCAGCGTGCTGCTCCTTGAAGCAAATATGCAAATTGCTGCTTTTCTTGTGCATCAGCCTGTAATGACTCACGCGAGACGGCAAGGTTTTACACTGAAAGCAATCTGTACATGTGTTTCTCAGTGCTTCACATGCTGCTAATGTGTGTTTCCTTTAATATGTTACTTATAGAACTATTTTTGAAAGAAAACGTTACTGTAATTCTTAAATATAATGTGAAAACACTCATATGTCAGTATACATTTTTGTATTTAAGTATTTGCTAAGATGGCCGTAAACCTTTGGCTGTAATGAAGCAAAAAGCAGACTTCTGTGGCTGTGCACATTGATAAAGGGCAAGCGAACTTCCATTTATATTCTGAGCAGTCCTCAATAAGACATTTAATGGGGATTTACTGGCACACCTCACCCACGCATTGTGAGGCGGCCCTAACTAGATGAGCCAGAGAATTACTGCGCTGTGGAACAGTGTCGGAACACACCACAGTGAGCGGTTTTATGATAGCCAAGCACCACATGGTACTGCAGAGCATCGTTGAGGCAGACGGCCATTCTCTTGAGTGCAATTTGGTTCGGGTTTCTTCTGTGCTGCTATTCCAAGCAATGTTTTTCTCTGCCTTAATATTTCTATGAGAGAATGACTGTCCTGTGGTCATAGAAACAATAAATCAAGTTCAGTTTGATTAGCAACCCTCTCTTCAAACTTTACTTTCATATTATCTCCTTCAATCAAACAGCTCATAATTTTCTCACTTAGTTGTTTCTCCAAAAAAACTGAGCTGATATCCTTCTGCTTCCATGGAAAATTAGAAATGTTTTTTTTTTTTTCCTCCTGATTGTAACAGTGTGGGTGTTTTAAGTGGTCTAATAACATTCATAGAACATCAGCACAGTTTGTCTTTTTACAGATATATAGACTTGTTCAGACTCTGCAATTAACTGGTGCACTATGGCTGGTTAAAACCTATAAACTGTAAATATTAGATTGTATAAATGCCCTGGATTTAAATTGTCAGTTTATTTCCACAGAGAGCAGAATCATTAAATCTATTTTACAGTCATTCCTGGTCCTTCCTAAAGAATTCCCGTCCTTTGAACTTAAAACAAGAGTGCATAATGGTTAAATGGAAGAAAGTGACCAATTCACTAAAATGGTGTATGCTACTAGAGTCAAAGAACATCATTTAGTATGCACACCATCACTATATTCAATCCTTAAAATCATTATATTCCAGATATGTCATCTGCAACTATGCTATAGTGAACACATCTGAGAATGTTTACCAGCCCTGAATTGTGCTTAAATCAATAATTTAGAAATATGTGTTTTTTTCTTTTTCAAGATATTTAAAAAATATCGGAATTGTATTATTTTTTTGCCACATCCTTAATAGCTCTAATCTATTGTTTCAAAATTCTGCACACCTATCTTTAGGTAGTTTTTGACCTCTCTCCTTTGTAAGACATTTAGGGTGATGATTAATTCATTTTGTTGTTATGTTTTAAAAAAATGAAACACAAAAATAAATGATGTTTTTTTTTTTAATTTGAAGATTGAATGAGAGCCTACATGACAAAAAAAATGATACAATTTGTGAAAAACAATGACAAAGACCTCTGAAGGAAAGTGCTTGGGAATAAAAAAAACATGAAAATTAAAAAGTTTTAGCCAAAGGTTTGTATTGTGAACTTTTTTAATTGGTAGTTAGTAGCAGAAAAATACAGTTTCTGAAAAAGTCGAATTACCTTCATATTCATCCAGGCCAAGGTTGAATTCCGTTTGCCTTAAAAAAAAAAAAAGACACAGTTATACCCACATAAAGCCAGATCAGAAAATTAAGACAACACAAAAATGGCATAAAGATTAATCCAAAATGAAAAATAATGAAATAGTGAAATATCTTTATTGCTGTTGCATCCTTTGTTTCTGGCCAAGGAGAGAACGCCTTTGACTTGATAAAAAGAATTGATGAGAACATCTCCCTTCTCCCATTTCTCATACATGTGTTAACTGTTGTATCTCATACCATTATAATTGTATTTTACAATGCTTTATTAGTTTTGACGGTGTATGTGGAAGTGAAGGGTATGGGATAGTATGACAGTTGGACAGTGCTGAAGCTGTGAGCTCTTACTGTCTTCCTGTGCATAGATTTAAACATGCAGGCGGTAATTCACAGAGCCCAGCCGCATGGTGTCTAGCAGTGAGAGTTAGCTCTGGGAGATGAATGTAACTGATGACCTTATTCTTAATGATGTTGAAAGTAAAGTAATTTACTGTAAGAAAGCAAAATTAATTAGCATCAAAGCAATAAACTAGAATTTTCTCATTTCTGATCATTGCTGTAAAAACATTATTATTCTTTTAGTTATCAGACATTCCGCATCACACTGCTTCTGATTTTTCCACAGAATCATACGTGGCAGATTTCGATGGGAGAAGCTCACTACTGTATCGGTTTAACCAAAAGTCCATGTCAACGGTGAAGGATGTTATTTCTCTACGCTTTAAGAGCCACCAGGCTGAGGGTGTCCTGTTGCATGGAGTGGGGCAGCGAGGAGACTACATCACACTGGAGCTGCACCGAGGAAGACTGGACCTCTATCTCAACTTAGGTGAACTGCGCCCTCCCATTATCTCTCCTGAGAATCACTCGTTTTCCTTCCTTTTGCCGTCCTTGTGGTGATTGTGAGAATCATTACCTGAGATGGAGCCAGAGATTGGAAGTGATTGAAAGGATATGAGAGCTTTATTTTCTAGGAGGCCTCTGTGATTGGGTTGACTTTTTATTTCCAGCTTTTACTCAACAGATGGAAGACCAAAAATATTTGTTCAAACTGTTCCATCTTAACACAAAGGTGCAAAATTAAACTGTGTGTGAGTGTGCCTCTATTTAACTGCCAAAAACAGCATTTTGTTTTTTTGTTTTGTTTAAAGGATTATTTTACCGTTATTAAGTCACCAGTTGAAATAATATAAAATACTAAACAGGTACAGCTTTAAACATTTAAATATTGACAACATATTAAATATTTGCAGTCATTTATTTCAGTGGTTTAGACCCTTACATAAATAAATAACATGAACTAATGAAGTAGTTAGAATGGTGATTAATAAAACTACTGAACTAATATATTAATTATAACCAAATTACACATTGCTATGAACTCTAAAATTCAAGCCTAGTGTTTCGTGCCAAAGACAAATAACAGGTGAGGAGATTTTGCTTTTCAGCAATGAAATGTGAAAAATAATAACAAGCACAGGAATATTAAGAGCCTTAATTTTTATTTTTAGAAGAAAAAAAAAGAAGAAATATATAAAATGTAATTAAGATCAAAGTGGAGGGGTTGATAAGTGAGCTTATACATGATATGAGCATCAGGGAGGATCGTTGCATGGCAGCTTATGGTGTTGATTATGGTACAGTACAAAAATTATAAAAAAGAAAACAGAAATAAAATAAAAAAATGAATGCCTGACATATTGTCTTTAGTAGCATGTTTAGATTTGAGTGGCATGCTTTTAAATAACATATTAGGGGTAATGCAAGTTAAACATTGTGTGTAAACATACATATCTATTATACAGCATTAACATATTGCATTTTGGGAAAACATTTCCGATTTGCTAAGTAAATTAAGGCGATTATTATTGATCCATTTATGTAGTAACCAAACATTATTGTAAAAAATATTTATAGAACATGCATTCTGTATAGCGTGCTGGGTTTAAAGCTTTAGTAAACTACTTAATTTCCTAACTCTCATTTTATTTGAGATTGTATAATCTTAATATTAGAGATTAGACCTGGGGGTTTCTTCATTACATTAATGGGTCGATTTATTATGTGTTTGTTTACCTTCTCTCTTAAGAATAAATATTTAATTGACATATTCATGGTTTTTACGCAATAAACATGGTGTGATTCTTTTTTTTTTTTCCACCTTGAAAGGTATTAATGAAGAGCTGCTGCTGTGCTCCCCTCAGGTCCACCAGAACACGTTTGATCGCTCACTGAGATTCTGCTGCTGTCTTCCTTTTGTCCAGATGATAGCAGGTCAAGGTTCAGCAGCCGCCGTGTTCCAGTTACCGTGGGCAGCCTGCTGGATGACCAGCACTGGCACTCTGCTCACATCGAGCGCTTCAACAGGCAGGTCAACCTCACTGTGGACTCCCACACACAGCACTTCCAAACCAGCGGGGAAGGACAGTCTCTGGAGGTGGACTACGAGGTGAGTTGTTAGCTAGATTGAATAACCTGCAGAGAAGATAGAGCAGCTGTGTAAATATTTCTCCACTGACAACCTTATCATGAACAGCACTCTGATGAGCAGCATTAGGGGGGAGCCTTGCAGCACTGCAGTAAACAAAGTGTGCTCTGTGTAACTGCTGGAAGCGCTCCTTTAAAATTAAATACTAGACAAAGACACTATACTTTTATTCAACATTACTAGCAGCCTCCGAGGACGTTGCCGTTGTATTTCGACCTTGTAAACAGTGGCCCTTTTGTTTCGGAGCTTGAAGTCATCGTGTGTTCGACGTTTCTGCTTGATAAAATGAACCTAGAGTTTTTCAGCTTCACAGCTGTGTTGGAAAAAAAAAAAAACTCTAAACACAAAACCTTGTTTTTAAAAGAAAAAGACTACCACATAAAGTGTAGAGCCTGAAATATCATGGGAAATATCATGCTTAAATATTCTTAATAAACTGCAAAATAAGGTTTATTTCCTTGAATTGAGGTGTAAAGTGACACACTTTGCTATTGAAAAAGACAATTTACATTTAAAATAACAAAAATCAAGTATATTGTCTTATTTCAAGTGCATACCTTCTAATTATCTTATATACTCGTTCCATTGGAAGATCATCTTATTTACCTACATTTAAGGGAAATACACTTAATATAAGAATTTCTTTACTTATTTCTTTTGCACTGTAAGTATGAGAAAATAAATAAAATGAACAAAAAAGGTGCAATAATCAGTTCAGGAACACATTCACCCATTAATAAGCCATTAAGAGTTGTAATAGCTTACTTCTAAGCAAGGATTTCTGCAATTTTGAATTAAATAAATGAAAGTGTTTTAGGTTTTTGGGGGGATACTTAGGATTTCAATTTAAGACCCTCAATAACTTGTAAGAGTTTGTGATCATAGTAATCTTATTTTATATGTGGACAAGGTTGAATGTGGCTTTTTGGGGATTTTTCTGACATTGGGAAATGATTCCAGTTCTTTATAGCAATGCTTTGGTGGAAAGGTGTTTTTGCATTTGACCTTTATTCGGGTTTGTTCCCAGTCTGCCTGCTCTGGACCTGATTTTAGGCTGAAGTCAGGTCTCCCTACAGGCCAGTTCACTGTCGCCATGTTTGATTATTTCCCACTGAGAAAACAGGGGCATGGCTGTGATGGAGAAAGCAGAAGAGTTTTTTTTAAACCGCTGTTGAGATGTGGAATCATGCCCGGCGTGTGAAAGTAGGTATTCTGTGTGCAGTTTGACCAAGTCGATGCACACTGAACCATGAAATCAGGTTCAGAGCACCACTGCTCAGAAAGTCTCTCAGATACTGTTGTGAGAAAGTGATCTTTTCTCACTTGCTGAATAAATGGCCCAGTTGTTCAAGCACAACATGGTAAGAATGTGTGTGTTGAGCATTCAGGTTCCACTCGTGTCCCCTGGACATCATACATACTGTGGAGCTGAAAGGGACTTATGGTTCACATCTTCTTTATTATAAATGTGGAGACATTTGTGCTTGTGGTGCTAATCAATCTTTTTGTTCTCCTCTCATCACAGCTGAGCTTTGGAGGAATACCTCTTCCTGGGAAACCTGGCACCTTCCTGGGGAAGAACTTCCATGGCTGCATTGAGAACCTGTATTATAATGGCATCAACATAATAGACCTGGCAAAGAGACGCAAGCCGCAGATACACAGTGTGGTGAGTGTCACTTTAGTTTTACATCATCATTGATAAATGCATCCCTCCATTTGAAGAGTTTCCAAGTTATGAAGGCAAATACTAAAAATCAAGGTCTGTGACTAAAATTGGACCAATTTGTGGAGCGTTTTTTGGCTTTGTGATGAAATATCAGACTTTAGGTTAGTTCTTTGCTAATGATGTTTTTAAGCTCCCTGTCAGCTTTATCTCTGATTGTTGCTTCTCTTCAAAGAAATCATAACTGCTTTTAAAAGTCAGAAATGTGAAATATCACTTCGGTATGTGAAGCTTATCTCACAGCACAGTGCATCTCTTCAAGGATGGAGAACTGATGGAATGATACGATAGAGAGGGGGATAGAGAGACAGGAAGAGGGAGAGAGAAAGCTCGTGTGGGCGAGCTGTAGAGAGTGGGTGGTTTAACTGCAGGAAAAAAAAAAATCCGTTAACGATTTATTTTGGTAATCATATACAGACCCTCAATATAATTCCACAGAATGATGTTTCAGGAATGTGTGTTGAGCTTAACCACAGATTTGAATCAGGACTGAGAGGAACATTCAGCGATTAACCCAAAGAACTTGCTGTCATATGTTTTTTGGTCTGGCCTGTATATATATATATATATATATATATATATATATATATATATATATATATATATATATATATATATATATATATATATATATATATATATATATATATATATATATATATATATATATATATAATGTATTCGCACGAAGGCATCAAAACTATGAATGAACACATGTGGAATTATATACTTCACAAAAAAGTGGGAAGGAACTGAAAATATGTGTTATGTTTTAGCATCAAAGCAGTAAACTACAATTTTTCTTATTTATAATCATTGCTGAAAAAAATGTATTTTTATGAATGCCAAGTGTGTGCGAGGCAGTAATCAAAGCAAAGGATGGCTACTTTGAGGAACCTGGAATGTAAGAATGTAAGACATCTCTCACTTTGAACATTCCCAAGCCCATGATGTTATTTTCACATCATGGACATTTTTTTTCTCTCATTTATTTGTCTCAAAGCTTGACCCCCTGATTGAGTCTTGAAGAGTGGATGGTTTGTAAACAGACATTAAAATCTAGCCAGTTTAGACAGAGACCAAAAGAAATGAAAAAAAAAAAGTGCTTATCACTGATTTTTTTCTGCTACACCCGGCTATGCTGCTTTCGCTTCTTCTTCTTCTTGTTTACTACTGGTGGTTGGCTTTGGTCGCAATACCGCCACCTTCTGCTCTGGAGTGTAAACGCTTCGCCTATGAGAAAAAGGAGCAGTGCATGAACCGAACGCAACACACGCGAATCGAACCGAGACAGTCGAACCGAACGGTTCGGACGGTTTTCATAAACCGTTCCATTCCTAATTTAAACTCACCTTTGATGTTTTCAAAAGGCTGCATGTTTTGGTATGTTCTATGAAAAAGCTTTAATGCTCTAAATATTAATGCAGAGCATGTTTCTTAAAGTACCAATCTTCCTGTTATCTGCTCAAAATCCTGTTCTCACTTGTTGAGGTGACTAGAAAAACAGTGTTTTGATGTGACCAAAAGTTTTTGTCTGACAGGAGGTAATATAAAGCTTTTAAATTGGTTCAGCCAGTGTTCAATGTAGAATCTGATAGAGAATGTGAGATCAGAGCTCATAACCAAAGATGGTGTCAAAAGGCTGCTGCAAACATGCAGAAAGCTGCTCAGCAGTTATAGTGTTTGATTGTTATGGTGACAGTATATTCTTTCCCATTTATTAATAATAAACAATCAAATATTTATTACTATTTTTGTGAAAATGTAAATATGCTGAAATATTTTCTTTCAAGTGATACTTTTATTATTTTCAGTAAGAAAGAAACTTCCTGTCAGGATCAGTGGATAATTGCTGAATGCAGAGACGGAGAGGCATAGATGATTTCTTGTAAAATTTAATCAAGAAATATAAAAACATAATGAAGAAATGAAGAGGATCCAGTAAACAGTAACTACAGAGGAGTTACCGATATGCCAAAGAACAAAGTATGGAGCAATAGACTGATTGGGAGCAGCTGTGGACAGAATGATCTAGAAGGGAGCCAGAGGAAAGACTGGCACAAGGTGGCAACAGAAAGTAAACAAGAAAGACATAAGTGCTCAAATGCAACCAGAAAACAAATAGAATGACTCAAAATGGAAATGAAACCAGTGACCTAGAAAACGCAGAATAACATTAAACAAAGTGTAACTTAAAAATGAAAAAGAAAAGAGAGAATATAAAAGTCCAGAAAAGGCAGAATCATGGAACTTCCATCCTCCTGCTAATTTTAAGCTTATTTCTGTTCCTCCTCTGACTTCTTTCCAGACTTTATGAATACTGAAAGTAGCCGACTTTGAGTCTTCTTGACTTAGGAACAGCAAAAACAAAGAAAACTGTGTTATCAGTGTTATCAAGCAACCTGTTATAACCTATTATGGTGTGTTCCATGATTGGATAAACAGAGGATTTGTTTAATTTCCAAAAGGCTGGTCAGCTTTAATGGTTGGCAAATCGCAGTCCCAGCCTTTTTATCAAAGCATGTCTGCTGAAGTTACAGTTATTATGCAAATCTCTCACATAGCTTAAATGTTGTCATTAAACTAATATAGTGCCACCAACAGGCCATCCTTTAAACAGGTTGGCCTTGTGGTGGCCCTATGTTTAGGTTCTGACTGATTTTCCGTGGCTTTCCTGTTTCCCCCTATGCTGATGATTTGTGATCACCCAGACATAGAATAAAGATTGTCAGAGGCATGAATAGAGAATAAACAATCATTAGAGCCATTATGAACCCGGCTACTCTGTGATTAAGTCTGAGTGCAGTTTGAGAGTCTCCTCCCACACCAATCAGACAGGTCAGTCAAAGAGCTACAAGCCACATCTCCTCTGAGACACCCACCGCCTTTAACTGTTGCATTAAAGGCCTTTGCTGACTATAGAGGCAGAGGTGGAGGAGACGGGAATGATGGAAGCTGTAATGGAATTTCAATGGGACCATCTCCCCGGGGCTGATGGGAGGGAATCACATTGAGAGTCTGAGAGTTGTGATTGCTGAGTGCTGCCCTGCGGGCTGTGGCACTGATAGGAGTCTGACCTCAGCAGCCATGACTGGTTGGATTTTGACTGCAGCCGACACACAATTAAGATTATATGTATGCTTGGATTGGATGAAAAGCTGCAGCCCAGGGGGATGTTTGTGACTTTACAAGTGGACAATTCACCAAAGGATGGTGCTGAATGAAAAGTAACAGCCTCTTTTGCATTCTCATTTTAGCTCTCTTCTGATGATGTTTGCTTGCAGTTTAATGTTATTAGACATTAGGGAAATGCTGTAAAAATATATATTTTCTTCTTTTTTTTTTAAATGCAATGTTTTATTTACTGATTTATCTTTTGAAAATCTGGGTAAAACAACTATGCAGATTTGTTCTCATATTTTTTGCAAGTTTTGTCTCAATCTCTCAACTGTGAAACAGTCCACAGAATTATTTTGGTTCTTATTTGTTTTTGTTTTCATTTCCAAATCACATATTTTAACAGCCACTTTTCCTGTGATTATTATGTTAAACCGAACCCAAGTAATTAGAGCCGACAAAGGTTTTGCCAATAATTAAAAAAAGGTTATAGTTTTTACATGACATTTGCAGCCTTTGTATTCTGCTGGCACATTGCTAGAGATTCATGTAAATCTTTCTCCTCTTTTTTTTTCTGCAGGGCAACGTGACCTTCTCATGTTCGCCACCCCAGCTGGTGGCCTGCACCTTCCTGAGCTCGAGCAGCAGCTTCCTGTCGCTCCCGTCTGTTACTGCCCCCACAGGGGAATTCACTGTTCGCTTCCAGTTCAGGACCTGGAACCCCGACGGGCTTCTGCTCTCTGTGCAGCTCAACCCAAGTCCACAGAAACTAGAACTGCAGATCAGCAACAGCTGGCTTCATTTGACCCTCCATAGCACAGGACGACAGAGATCAGAGGTTTCTGCTGGTGAGTGTGAACAGCCATCCATCTCCAAACATAACCTAAAGCCTTTTTCTACAATCAGATGCACTCATTATTACTGAGAAAAATTATAATTAAGTTACCTTTTAGAAGCAGGCGTTTTCTAATGAGATAGAATAATAATATATTTCTCTCAGGAGTTAAAAGGAAACCTGTAAAGATTTCAAAATATTATATTTGAAGATGTTTTCCATTTGTTCATAAGCAGAAAAACTTGAGGCATATTCGTGTTGACTGTATTGCTTTCTGTTCAAAGCGAGAGATTAATCTTTTATTTTTTTATTTTTTGGAATGAAACAAGGCGTATTCAGTTAAGATAACCTATCTGCAATCTAAAGCTTATAGAACCAGTTTAGTGAGCAGTATTTTGCTGTTTCTGTTTCTGCTTGAGTTCATATCTGTCACATCAGTGGGAAGGAATTCTGACCGACTCCTTCTTTCTTCCTGTATCTTTCTTAAGGTCCCACTGCAGCATTTCTATCAGACCAGTTAATCTGAATTTAAACTTTTAAATATTTTTGTACTCAGTCATTCTGCTGCAGATTGTCACCCAGGTTAGCCAGGATTAGACTAAACTTGGAATAATTTGATGCCCCAAAGACATAATAGTTTAATTAAAATTCAAAAAAGCAAAACAGGCCCAAATCACGACCCTCAACCATCATGCTTGAAAACCAGTACACTATGGTTTTGCTCATATGCAAATATCTGCATTTTGTTCCAGAAGTTTGATTGGTCATTCGAATGTAGTTTTAATGACCAACTAAAGTTTCTGTTATATCTCTAGGTGTCTGGCTTTAGCATAAATTGTGTTAATTGCATCTGCATCACAGTGACAACACCAAACCAAAACACTGCATAACTGCACCATACATACTGAACTTTTTTTTTCTTTTGCTCCATGTTTTTTCTCCACACTACATTTAATCACTGCTGCACTTTAAGAAATGGTAACATCATGAAGGCTTTACAAAACAAAATTATGTTTTGTATTCACTCTGTGTATACAAAATGACAAAAATTGTCTAAGTCTAGATTAACTGTCAACTCCTGGCAACAACAATCAAAGTCATTTTATGATTTTTTTTTCTTCGGGAGTAGCTCACTGCAGAACAAGTGAATTAATCTTAGCTTTAGCTTTATTCCACGCCTAAGACAGATGGTTACAATAATTATATTTAGCGTCATAGTTAAAGTGTGTGTGCTCCACACCAGCAGGTGTGACTGGACCTGCCTGGAAAATCTGGAAACTGACTGAAGCTACAACAGAGTGTTTCATGATTTAGGCAGATATTATCCAGTCTGGTGTCTTTATTGTTTAAATGTACCTGGAATCAGTTGTATGTGTTGATATAGTTAAAATTATATTTGTGTGATCTGGGGATTCTATCGCTTTGATTTTGTTCAAACATGAAGTAGAATACCTAAAATAAAAAGAGGGATTGTAAAGAGTACTTTGTTTTCAGCAATGCTGTATATTGTTCATGTGGCGGTGATAACACTTCTTTGTTGGCATCTGTGAGGCTGCCGGTTTATAACATTTTGTGAACTGGTTTGTTCTGCATAGTGACAGAATGTATCTGTGTCCTAATTTAAGAAAAGCTGCTCCAGGGATATTTTAAGTTAGGGGAAATAAAGCAGGCTTTTTTTTAGAGGCTGACATTATAGAAACCATTAAGGTCATGTGAGGACGTTCTAGCTATTTTTCTACACCTCCTCACAGTCTGCAGGGTATTTTTCTGTTTAACAGAAAATAAACGCTGAGTGCATGTAAAAAAAAAAAAAGGCATGGAATGGGCATTCCCTTCACGTAAGGGTTCGTTTTTCAGCTAATGTTTTGTAGAGCATGAGAACTATTTCCCAATATGATTTTGTGGCCATGCGTTGCTTTCAGCTAATGATGAGTCACAGTTCTTGATTCAGTTCCAATTTGTTGGTTCAGAGCTCAATTCTCACTCTTCACCCCCATTTACTTCCATCCTCAATGATTTAATTGGTATTTTTCACAATGCGGGAAGAAAATTCTTCCAAGAACTCTAATATTTCTTTGATAATCTTTCTTTAAAGGTTTTTTTTTTTTTTTTTTTACCACAACCTTGTTAACATCTCAAAACGCATTTTTATTCTATTGTACAACACAATGATTATAGCAATTTGTTGAAATCACAAGCTTGAAATAGTTTTATCTTTTAATTCAGTTACTAAACATGAGTTTCTGGATTAGATTTTTTTTTTTATTATCAGGAATTAAACTGGTTGTGTGCCGTCATCAGCGTTAATGGCTGCATTAACGGCAGACTCTTAACCGGCAATAAAAAAACATCGCAGTTAATCTATTCCCACAGTGGTTTGGGATCTGGAACGGATATATTTCTCGGGGCGTGAATGAATCAGTCTTGTGTCTAGGCCACCTTTCAACACATCAAACGTGAAGTGCTAAAATGGATTCAGCTATAAAGCTGGAAAAAAAATTTTAAGAACGCCCATCAGCATGGTTAAAGATGATGGGCTTGAGTTTAATCTCAAGGCGGCCACAGGTGAGCCATCTTAAAAACTACCTGCAAGGTTAACTATCATGAGGAGAATACATGACCAACACGCCGCAGAGAAAGCCGGGAAAGATGAGAAGTTGGTCGAGGTGATGTGTTTAGCACTGATGGTCGAACGCTGTATTTCTGTCAATAATGATAACTACCCCGGCGTTACTGTGCACCTTATCAATGCCAGCTGGGAACTGCACTCCTTTGCTTCAGGTAGGCAATGTTATGTAATTTTAAATTTCATTTTACCACGACACGACAAACGATGACCACAACATTATGTTTGCTTCTTGACGATTACTTTGGTGAATACTGCTAAAATGTGACACTTTTCGAAAATATAGCTTCTGAGGTTTTATGTGATGCATTTTGGAAACTGGAGATCTAATGCGAGAAACCTGTTTAAAGACTTACTTTTACTTATTATTTAGTTAGCACACACATATCATCCTTATGTTATTTATTCTTACCCTTATCTTATTTTATTCTTATCCTTTATTCCTATATTGAATTTGTACTTACAATCTTATTGTTCTCGGCTGCTGAGTGGGGCAGTGGGTAGCACTGCTGCCTTGCAGCAAGAAGCTTCCTGGTTCAATTCCCAGCCTTTCTGCATGGAGTTTGCATTTTCTCCCGGAGCATGCTTGGGTTCTCTCTGGGTACTCCGGCTTCCTCCCACAGTCCAAAAGCATGACTGTTAGGTTAATTGGCTTCTCTAAATTCTCCTTAGGGGTGACTGTGTGCATGAATTGTTGTCTGTCCTGCTTGTCTCTGTGTTGCCCTGCAATAGACTGACGTTCTGTCCAGGTTGTACCCCGCCTCTCACCGGTAGACAGCTGGAGATAGGCACCAGCATCCACAGCTGGGACGAAGCGTGATGAAAAATGAATGGATCTTATTTTCCCTCTTTTGTAAACGGTTGCACTGCAAGAAATACATTTCCCGCAAGGGATTAATAAAGTGATTCTGATTCATGAATCCCTTTGGCAGAATTCAAATGAGCCATTTTAATCTAGATTCATTTAGATTAATTCCAAGATTACAGTGAGATTAATATAGATTGAAAAAAAAATTATCTATGCTCACATTCTGGATTATTCTGACCATCACTGGCGGCTCCAACTCTGACAAACTAAATAATTTATAAAATAGTTAAAGCAAAAATAGGGTTCTTACTTTTGTCTTAAAATGCTTCAACAAACAGCTTCGTCTTTGATGTATTTTGTTTTAAGTTTGGCCAAAATCCAATAAATATTTGAGTCACAAAGAAAATACAACAGAGTCCCAGGCAAAGTCCTTTTACGATGCTAGTCTGGTCCAGGAATCAGTAAATGTAAAAGATTTCATACCTTCAATTGGCATTGTTAGCTTTTTACAGAGAGATGGACCAAACAAAGTCATACACCTTTAATGGACTGTTTCAGTGGCAGTATTGCTCCACTATTACAGTACTACAGTATTTAATCTTTGGAGGTACATTTTTACTTTGATTTTCCTGTTCTTCTTCTAATCGAATGTGCTAATCTAACCTCACATCTCATATTCCTACTTTTAGCATTCTGGGATGGACACATACTCGTGGACCTATATGGACTCTGTCACACTCATAGGTGTTCCAAAATTTTGGTTTAAAATCTTGTTAGTTGTGCACCTACATAAACATGTCCATGTTTATGTAGGTGCCTAACTGAGTCCATGTTTATAACAGAGATAAATTAGATGGGGATGGATAAATAAGTGAAGGAAATTGAAAGGAATGGGTCAAATTTTAGTTGGAAAAAACATACAGTTCAGCATAAACCTGATTGGGTTATAAACCAATTCTTACTTCAGTGAGTCAATGAACAATGGCACCATTGATATCCTCTTGCTATGCAATTTGCCTGTGAATTTAGATCTGTGACACTTTGCAAAACAATTTTAAGTATAAAACTATTAGCTCTGATTTGAGAAAAACACTTGGAATAAGTTGCTTAACCTTTTTTGGAATTACCAAAAAACTTTACCAACATTCATGCTTGGAGGCACAAACTTGTGATATTTTACAATCCCTTTATTTTATGCTGGATTCAAAGCTTTTTCATCAAGATCTCAGCTGTTTTCTTACCTTCACATTCAATGTTTTTTTTTTTTTTTTCCTTTTCCTAAAATTGATTGAATAACAAAAAAAACTTAAAACATTGATACTTATATAGAAAAAAAATTTGGAACTGTTACAATAAGATTGGACACATTGCACGTAGAAAACAACAGTTGGCCAGTGAAGTCCTTGTTATTGGATAATACATTATATGTCAGAGAATGAATAAATTACTGCTAATTCTGCTGACTGGAGTATGTTTTTAGATGTCTTTGAGCATGCCTTAGTTAAAACCATTAGATAGGAGTTGTAGTATAGTGCGAAAGGTGTTATTATCATAGCTGGTTCCAAGAGCCAATTAGCCG